GTGGATTTAGTTTTAGTTAACTATAATAACCATTACATTTGTATAGCGATCTCCATCGACGTGTATTAGATGAATTCTGAATTGTGTTAGATGGACAAAACTGACAGTGTTTTTCTAATGCGCATGCAGCCATTGTCATTGTTGCTGCCTGCTTTCATACAGCAAACTACCAGTTCACTGTCAAAACTGTAATGAGGCCTGTTTTATTCATCATGTATAAAACAACTTTAAAATTATTATTAAAATTACAATATTTTATATTATAATAAAATTACAAAATACGCTTGAAATATTTAACATACACATAGCTGTACACTTAAAGAAATTAATAATACTTAAAAGCAAATATTTTTTTTTAAATGTACACTCATATGATGATATAGTTATATCTATCTATATATATATATATATATATATATAGATAGATAGATAGATAGATAGATAAGCTCTTGTGATGTTGCATCCACAGCAACAGGTGTCAGTATAGCCTGCAGACCAATTACCTTTAAATTGCCAAATGGTGCATCTTTTACAGTAAATTTAGTTGCAATTTTATATGCTCAGTGTTTCTAAACCAGTACTTATCTAACCTCTCACTCAAAATCATCATTCAGCATTAGCTTTCAGAAATGTTTGTCGATGAAATGACACTAAGAAGGACTATGCTGTAGAGTCTTTTAGAGTATGGTCTCCTCTCTCCTCCACTCCATAGCTTCCAGTGTAGCACTTAGCTCGGCCTCTTCTTTAGCATGACGTTCGCTCACGACAGCGATTTGCTTCTCCAGTCGCCACAGCTGCTCCTGATGCTTCTTTCGAGAACTTCTGTAGGTGCTTGAAACTTTACTGTTGGAAAAAAATGATTGCAATTATTCCAGCATACATGGGTTGTTGACATATAGGTGTACACAGATAATGGTAATGCTAACTTGACACAGATAATGCTAACATTTTGTAACTATTGTAATTGGTCTTACACCACTCTGAGCGGGATACAAACCAGCATCAACTGGCATGTGGTTCAGACACACTAACAAGGATGCTCAAGACCTCACTCACATCCAGATCATATAAATTGGTGTTTTTGCACCGTTCTGAATGAGATTCAAATCAACATCAACTGACTTGGGAATCAGGCTTACTAACAAGGACTCTAAACACCACAGACACTAGAGTCAGTTGCTAGTCCGCCTCTTGAGGCCAGGTGAGTGGGGTTTACCTGCACAGCTTTACTTAGGGCTACATAATGGTTAAACAGTTGATCACAATTATTTTGCACAAAAGTATAATCACAAGAGCACAAATCAAAAGAACATCAACTTGCATAGTTTGCTTTGCAGATTTCTATTGGCAGTGAGCGTTTTGCGTGCTGTATATGCGCCCCGGGCGCTTCATGTTTTAGCCACCTACTGCACCTCGTGTTTTTGTAGGAGCTCTCTGAGCGTCTGAAGTTGAAAAAAAAAAATCAACTCTTTTTTTTAAAGTTGATGCTATAATTCAAATCAACATCAACTGACTTGGGAATCAGGCTTACTAACAAGGACTCTAAACACCACAGACACTAGAGTCAGTTGCTAGTCCGCCTCTTGAGGCCAGGTGAGTGGGGTTTACCTGCACAGCTTTACTTAGGGCTACATAATGGTTAAACAGTTGATCACAATTATTTTGCACAAAAGTATAATCACAAGAGCACAAATCAAAAGAACATCAACTTGCATAGTTTGCTTTGCAGATTTCTATTGGCAGTGAGCGTTTTGCGCGCTGTATATGCGCCCCGGGCGCTTCGTGTTTTAGCCACCTACTGCACCTCGTGTTTTTGTAGGAGCTCTCTGAGCGTCTGAAGTTGAAAAAAAAAAATCAACTCTTTTTTTTAAAGTTTCTGCTAATATGACAGTTTCCTTAACAGCAAACCAAAGATTTTAGAGCGCTCGCGCTATAATCCTTGATTAGACTGACAGGACAGCTGATTCGGTGGTTGCCTAGCAACATAAACTGCAGAGCACTGCTCTTTTCTAAATAAATTTAAAAAAAGAACCAAAAAAAGATGCGGTGTGCGGTGCGGCTCACGTTTTGAAACCTGAAAAACGTCCTGTCTGATTGGGACCTAAGTAACCCATTGGGCAGAAAGCGTATTGATTCATGGAAAAAGTTCTGATTGGGGGATTTAAACTGTTGACATTTGGCAACCACAACCACAAATGCTTGTGGAGTCTTGTTGCCAATGCAAGATAATACAAATGCCAAATTAAAATGATATGTTTTTAGCACAAATAACCATCACAAACGATTATGTTTAATAAATCCAGAGATGCAGAAGTCATTATCACAATGAAAATACGATTCATCTGAACTGAACTGACTTGAGCTAAATAATGACACTACTGTCTTTTCAAGATTCAAGATTTTTTATTTGTCACGTACATGGTTATATAGAGAATATATGACCAGCAGTGAAATGTAAGTCAGGTCCGCTCCATGGACAGTGCAATTATTAAAGAATACAAACACAATTTTAGAGCTGCTTTACAGCAGAATCTGAACTTTATTTATCACTGTGAAGCTGCTTTGACACAATCTGTATTATATAAAGGTGACTTAACAGCTCTTACCAGCCTCTGTTACATATTATATCTGTCAGGATTGTTGTTAGTGAAGAGCTTGGGACTGTAGGGCTACCGAATAGCTTTATCCAGGTATATTAGACCTTAGTCTCAGCCTCAGATGTCACACCCACGGTCCATTGGCTGAACGTCTGATGCATATGGCACACAAAACTGGAAACACTTCGGGAGTTTCGAAGTCGTCATCGGATTGGTTGAATTATACATGAATTCCGGGAGACGTGCGTGTCCCGTTCTTTAACGTTCTGCCTGGAAACAAATATGCCGTGACGCCAAACCCCCTTATGTTAGAAGAAAGCCGTCATGTTGTCGACTGTGACAATGAGCGCTTATCAGGATCAACTGAACGCTGAATTTTCAAAAAAATTTGAAATATTTAACGTTCGCTGCATAGAATCTTTAAATACGTCTAAGAGTTTTACACACGGTCTGCTATTGTGGAGACATTTCCACGCCCCCAAACATGATGCGGCACAAACGTGATTGGTTGCTTTATCTGTCAGTCATATGGCCTCTTGGGCGGTCCTTGCCATTCAAAGCGGCCAAGGTTTCCAGGCCTTCTGCCGTCAGTCTGAAGGTCTGGCTACGCGAGACTAATTAGACCTTGGTTGTAAATGGCGTGATCATGTGACTATATAAGTTGTTACTATGACAATCATGTGAATGCAGACACTCTACTTCTTATGCTAATGAAAGTGTTGTGATGTAGTTTTGGATTACTTGTAGTAGCGGGAGATGCGTGCAATCTCCTCTCTGTTGATCCTCCTCTGAGTGGTGCTGTCTGCGAACGCCGAGTCCAGCGACTCACGTAAAGCTGCCACTCTCTTCCTCAGTGACTGTTCCCTACAGCAGGAAGTAGAACATCCACAGATCAAGTCTTTTTCATGAGCGTCTGATGTGTTTTGATGTTTTGTTCCTACCTTTGCAGTGTTGCTTGTAGTTCTCTTAGGATAGAGTGATTCCGAGGACCAGGAATTCCCCCTCCACCTTCTAGTTTTGCCAGATTTTCAGCAATTCTCTACAAACGAGACCAGGCATATCACTTTTCAGTTCTGAAGCTTTATGATAGCAAGAAGAGTTTAAGCATCTGGTAGTTCGACACATTGTAACTCGCAACTTTCTGTTGACCTTCATTGAAACACAAAGGTAAGGTAAATCTCCTAAACCAGGGGTGTCCAGTTATGCTCCTGGAGGGCAACCATTCCAGCAGAATTTAGTCCTAATTAAACACACCTGAACTAGCTAAATAAGGTCTTCAGGACCACTAGAAACTTCTAGGTAGGTGTGATTCTGGAAAGTGGCCCTCCAGGAGCAGAGTCCTAAACAATAGGGGTGAAGATATTATGATCTGCAGGATATTAAAGGAATATCATCTTGTAAATCATTCAGATTAAAACTCATGAGGTCACACTAGTGTTGACAACGGCACCAAAGAGCGCTCCATTTATAATCAATGAAGCTATCAGTTCTGCCGCCACACGAGCTCACTGACTGTGAAAACTCCTGTTATAATGAAAAAAAATCTGTCTTTACTGTACAGTGAATCTCTCATTTTCATTGTGTTTATACTTTGCTAGTTATACCGAAACGATTCGCGAGCACGCAGGATTCTGACTTAGACGCTCCTGATTGGTCATTGCGTTCATGTGCTCAACCAGCATGTCTGTGATTGGCTACAATGCTCAGTACTCCAAAAACACATAATTAGAAACCGTTGTCTCTCTTCACAGAGTGCCGCTCACACACATATGGGAACGTTTAAAAGCAGCTGCATATCAGCTGGTACTGGATCGACCCGGTACTACCAGTACTGCGGAAAGACTGGTATCATTATGTTTTGAAAATGTCAGTATTGACTTGGTACTGAAGTGCCCGTACTTTTGTCAACACTAGGTCACACATTTCAAAGCACCTGCTGGGTGGCTCTCCTCTCCCCCAGCTCATCTCGCAGACTGTCCAGGATGAGAGCACCAGCAGAATCCTGGGCACTCTGGACCATCAGCGCCAGGTCCAAACACCGCCTCTCTTTCTCCAGGAGCCGGAGATTCCCACGCATCTCTGACATCTCCTCCTGTGCAAAATTGACTCATGTTATGAGAATTTGTACATTTCAACTGTAAAGTAATCCTGATGAACCTGTATTGCATTGCATTCATAACATATATAAGTGCAACCCTTGTGCATCCTTAAGGGACATTAAAATCCTGAAAATGAATGTATAATATATAATATTTTATGACCGTTTTTTGACATGGACATTTTTGTCCTCTAACACTCACACCAGGTTGAAAACTGGTTCTGAATATAGAAAATTGGGGTAAACTTTTCATATGGCTCACCCTGACAGTCAGCAGCTCATACAGTAGAGCTGCTTTCTCCTCTTTGGTGTTTTTGGAAAGTGAACTAGCACGACCTCTGACCCCTGCGAGCGTGCCAGTGTCGGGACTGATCTTGCCCTCTCCTGCTGCGCCCTGCTGCGGGATACAAACAGCGGCCCTGTCCTGCTTCAGCCTGGAGATCCTTTGCAGAATTACACCGGCCTTGTCCTCAAACTCCTGTTCCGACAAGCTGCAGTTTACGGAAAAAGAGAGAGCGAAAGAGTGAGAGAGGCTTTTCAGATCTAAGACGATGTCAGATCATTTCATTATCAGACCAAATTAAGTGGATTGAATGATTGGTTTGGAAAGGTAATTGCATGTTAAGCCAGAGTAATTAATCTAATTAGGACTGAAAATAAGACCAAAGCTTTGCTGAGATACTTGCACTCAGATTCAAGCTGCATACCAATTTCCTTTGAAAATATTATGCCAAAGGTGTGCAGATGAGATATTTATTCATCTGATGCACTAAAGCAAAAAAAAAAGATTATAAAATAGCTTAATTTTTTCATTATCAGACCAAATTAAGTGGATTGAATGATTGGTTTGGAAAGGTTTGGAATTGCTTTGCTGAGATACTTGCACTCAGATTCAAGCTGCATACCAATTTCCTTTGAAAATATTATGCCAAAGGTGTGCAGATGAGATATTTATTCATCTGATGCACTAAAGCAAAAAAAAAAGATTATAAAATAGCTTAATTTTTAGATTAAGCTTACAGTTAAGAATAAAAAACTAAGAATTTTAAGTTAAATAATTTAACTAGATGTCCCAATACTTACATGCAGTATTATTCCAACTCAAAATCATGTACTTACTTACTGTCGAAGTACTTTTAGTGCATAGCAGAAGAATGGAATCGGGATACAACCTACAATTTTCAGTGCACTAACCTTAATATTGTATGCTACATGGGATGGATAGGAAGCAAATTGAGATTCAGCCTAGGATATCTCTGTCTAACTAAGGGTGACATAATACAGCACTTTTCTGGAACCTCGAATGGGACACCCTGCAGTTAGGTAGGTAGGGTTAGGGTTAAGTAACGTTTTTTAGGGTTAGGTTAAGTAGTCCATTGAACCGACTTAATTTCTCACATGAAATTTCATCAAGCAACAGTAAATGTGACCGCACCTTAAGAGACTATATATAAAGCAATAACCTGTTCGGTCTGGTCTCAGCAGTGCCCTCTGGTGGACTGGAGGATGCCTCGCCTGTGTCCAAGTTCTCGTCTGTTGACTTTGCGAGGTCAGACTGGGGTGTGCTATTTGTTTCTGTAAGAAAAAAATACCACTGTATTTATATGTGTGTGGTTGTACTTTCATGAGCTGTAACTCAAAGAGTGTGCAGCACCTGCATTCTGTTGTTTTGTGGCTCCGCACAGGGACAGCAAGTCTCTGTAAGCCTCCTCACACTCCTCACTGTCAATCAAAGAGCCATTATCAGCATACCACTCACACACGCACGCTCCTCCTGCCAATCTTAGGTGTGCTATTTGTTTCTGTAAGAAAAAAATACCACTGTATTTATATGTTTGTGGTTGTACTTTCATGAGCTGTAACTCAAAGAGTGTGCAGCACCTGCATTCTGTTGTTTTGTGGCTCCGCACAGGGACAGCAAGTCTCTGTAAGCCTCCTCACACTCCTCACTGTCAATCAAAGAGCCATTATCAGCATACCACTCACACACGCACGCTCCTCCTGCCAATCTTAGAGGCCAAAGGTCAAGGTTTACAATGTCAAAAAGAAACAAGAAAACACCTTCAGGATCAGTTTTAGAAACGATTATGATATAGACAAGTGACTAAGCGCTGATCCTGGATCAGTGGTGATTTTACCACTAGTGCAGTGTGAAACAGAGGTAAAGACAGCAGCACACCAGTATGCCAGAGCCATGTGTAGAGCCGAGCTGTCTGCCTCCTGTCGGCTAAGACTCATGCTCAGCTGCTCCGATTCTCCTTTCCTTTTGACCAGTGCGGCATTCAGACGCTCATTCCGAGCTTTCAGTCGCTCCAGACACCTGCTCAGAGAAAACACCCCTGTAAGAAGAGATTCAACAGTTCCAGCATTCAAACATTATTCAATAATTAGGATGAAATGTCACTCTGTAAAATCAATTGACCAACTTTTAGAAACTTCCCCGGCTCAAATTTTTTCTCAAGAAAGACAAGCATAAATAGTTTACTGAATGTATGTTTACGGAGTAATCCACTATTTTGTAGAAGGGGCTCAAAATGACAATTTTAACCTGAGGTTAGAAGCCAAATAACAGGGGGTTAAAATGAGTTTAGATAGATTTTATTTTTGCACAAAGACTGGTAGGTCTATTAGTAAAATCTGTTACCTTTAGCAATCTTTGCTGCATTATATGCTAATTTTAACAGTTAAAAAATGGGAAATACACTTCTTGTGTTTTTTTCCTGAAATTTGCATGTTTGCAACTCAAGATGTATCAAAGATATCTTAATGCCCTTTTAGACTTTAGTTCTTAACAATTTTTCTTCTGGTATTTTCATTTTTAAAGCCCCTATTGTTCATTTCCAGAGATATATGGATTTCATTGCGGCTCCTTGAGTGAATTATTAAATTGTACACATTTTCAGTGGTCAAAAACCAAATGTGGGTCACTTTGCATACAGATGATGAGAATTTTCTGAAAAACAAATAATGTTGAAATTTAAAAAATGTATCTTGTTTCACTCTATAAAACCAACTTCATAGAACATACCTGTCTGAGTGCTAAAAATACACTTATATGGTCAAGCTGAGGCACAATAACTTGCTCTCAGTAAGACTCTATATTTGAATCAGTTTCAAGAATATTTGGATGACAGGATTTTGTTCATTTTAACAGCTTCTGAAGCTACTAAGAGTTTAAATCAACCAGTTAATAACCATCCAGAATGCCCTAGCAACCGAATAGCCACTCAGAACACCTTAGCAACCAGTTAACAACCATTTTGAGATGATAGGAGATTGTCTGGGAGAGAAAGGAGGGAATGGAATCAAGACGGACTCAAACTTGACAACCACAGCTCAATATTTTAGGGAGGGTTTTGATGGTGTTGTCTTTGGATGCAGATCATGGCCAGTGTAATCCGAGTCAATATAGAGTAACAAAACCATTTCATCTCTCACCTCTGCAGCTTATCCATCTCAGCCTGAAGCACAGAATCAACAGTGCAGGGAGACGGAGGGGAGTCCGGCCTGAAGCCGGGCAGTTTGTGGGACAGCAGAGGGGATCCAGGATATGGAGGAGAGGAAAAGCAAGGGCTCGAAGTTCGACTGGAGGACAATGATGGACTGACAGGAGGAGAACGACTCACTCCATACAGCCATTTCCTCTTCAGGTCCACTACCTGCCAAAAGATGAGTTCAGCAACACAAGTTATGAAATTATAATTATATGGCTGAATTAAGAAATCAAAGTGTGTTTTAAAGCCTAATGAACATCGTTTCATCAAATCTTTAAAGATTTTTTTTTTTTTACTTATCAGCTGATCAATATATATTATTGTAAAAGTATTTAACTTACTTCAGACAATTATAATGTTGGCCCAACAACACATTATTTATGATTGCTAAAAATGCACTATATAATGGTTAAAGCTACTCTTTGATATGAATAAGAATATAATAGTGTATATATTTATTTTATATTATTCAATATTAATAATATTATTACTTTGAGGTGTGCCACTGATATACAATGTTAATTTAATTTCATTTCATTTCATTTCATTTCATTTAATTGCATATAGACTTTAAAATATTCAATCATATTTTAATATAATTATATGAAGACATATTTTAATATGTTTCAATATGCCTATTTATGGCACCATTAATTTATGTCCTATACCAGATGGCAATTTTACAGTTATTATTAAAATAATAAATTTCATAAAAAAATGATTATTCTTTAGTTTATTCTGTAGATAAAGTATTTTTTAAATATATGATGATTATGATGATGATGATAATTATTATTATTATTATTAAATAAGTTATTAATAAAGAACTTTTTAGATGTTTGCACTCTATTATGAAGACAATTCATTAAGTTTTTTTTATCACACACACACACACACACACACACACACACACAAAACCTCATCAAAACAAAATGTGGCAAAACACCACTAATGATGTTTTTATTTTAACTTTATTATCATTAATAACATTAATAATTATTATTATTATTATTATCCAAATTCCTAGAAATTATGATCATTATTTTATTAAAACAACGAAAGTATTATTGTTATCATTATTACTAATAATTAAATGACATTTTGATATAATAATTACATTATATCATTTTTAAATATATTTTTAATAATTCACTATATGTCTATTTATGGCACTATTAATTCATGTCCTATACCAGATGCCAATTTTACAGTAGATCTGTAGTAGTAAACCAGTTTTATGATTGAAAATGTAAACATTTTCTCTATTAATGATTGATTAGGAATCCCAATCAACCTTTTCCTGTAGCCACTTTTTCTCATCCTCAAGATCCATCAGCATTCTTTCAGCACCCACAAGCTCAGCCTGTCGGCTCTTCAAGGAGGTGTTGAGGTCTTGGTTGTGTTTGTACAGCGAGAGAACATCCCGCTGATACTGACGTCTCTCATCAGGGGGCAGAGCAGAGGGGTATGAGATCCCCAAATCCGTCTCCATCTCCTCCAGCACCTGGGGCAGATCACACACATCAGAGCTGAGGGACGTTCAGAAGCACATACAGGATCCTACGGCGGGAGCTACATCGGCACCTGTGTGGCCTGAACCCAGTTCTCCTGGGCTGCAGAGAGATGCTTTGCCCGGATTGTCTCAGCATTCTGAGTGTGCAGCCTGAGCATGTTCCTCCCCTGACCGCTAGAGGCCTCAAGAGCAGAGAGAGCCGTCTGCAGCTCCTTCCAAAGCCCACTGCTGCCCCCTGTGCAAAAGCAGAGGGGGGGTTTTTTTGTGTAAATGTCCAAATTGTTACGCAGTATTATATTATTATTCAGATACACTTAATAAAGCAAATACAAACAAAATATTAAAGCAAACTACCATATTAGGGAAAATGTGACAAAACACCATTAATGATGTTGAACTTTATTATTATTAACAACATTTATATTTTTATCAATAATTATAATGATTAATTAGTTATGAGCCAAATTCTTGTTTGAATAAATTTTTGATTTATTATTGTATTATTAAAATACAATTATCATTATCATTCTTTAGTGTATTCTGTACAAAAGTTTTTATTTTTTTAAAAATATGATGATGATTATTATTATTAAATAAGTGTTTCATAAAGAACTTCTTAGGTGTTTGCACTCCATTATGAAGAAAACTCAATAGGTTTTTAATTCTAAGTGGGTTTTTTTCCTCCCAACATCCATATTCATTCTTACAAAAAACTCATCAAAAGAAAATGTGGCAAAACACCACTAATGATGTTGAACTTTATTATTATTAATAACATTCATTATTATTATTATTATTATTATTATAACCCAATTTATGATATAAAAATTATGATAATTGTTTTATTATTAAAACAATAAAAAACATTATAATTATGATGATGGTGATAATTACTACTACTATTACTATTAATACTACTACTAATAATAATAATAACGTTTTAGATGTTGGCACTCCATTATGTAAAAAGCACACTCTAAAAAATGCTGGGTTAAATACAACCCAGTGCTGGGTTAAAAAGGGACAAACCCAGCTATTCATTGTCATGATAAATAAAAAATAACTTTTTAGTTGTTTGCACACCATTATGAACACAACTCATGAATTACTTAAGTTTTCTATTTTTAGTGTTATTTTTCCTCCTAACGTAAAAATGTATACAATTTCTCAAGAGTCTTAATTTAGAAAAAAAATACTTGCATGTGTAAATGTCATAATGTGCCCAGAGAAAATAATTTTAACGTTTAATAAGTAGCTTTGCATTTGGAAACAAAAGTCTGGCAGGACCAATAGCGCAGTAAATAGCAGGCTGTCCGTTCTGACACCGCATTTACTGTGATTGATGATGAGGCATTGTATAAACACAACATGCCTTCTGAGTCCCTGCAGATGTTCTTGGTCTTGGACTCCACAGATGCTGTGCCAGCGTTCACCGCCGTGAGGCTCGAGCCCTGCTGCGGGACGCTCCCACTGACCCGGACTGGACTCTTCGACGTTTCCATCTCTCTATGACAACACAGACCTTTTCACATAGTGTAGAGCAAGAAAATATATATTTAGTTTGCAATTGTTTGAGGTAGGGGTTACCGTGGTATTTGTAGGGAGTCCATCTTCCTGTTGAGGTCAGAAATGATCTTCAGTAAAGTGTTGACCTCCGTCTCACACTGCGCCAGTTCAGAGTCCGCTGACACCAGACTGTCCGAGCTCTGCAGGAACTTGACACTTATGTGAAATATTGCAAGAAAATCTGCAAAACCAGTCTTCACTTTAGATCAGACTTGAGTTCGGTTGGGATGACACTCTACAGTGGCCCAAAAAGTCTTTAAACACTTTCATTAGACACAAAATGTCCATCCAAAGGGCTTTTCACAATTCAAATAGTTAACCCTGGGTGATTCTAAACCCCAGATAAAGGGAATCCTATAAAGGTGAGAATGAAACAGACTCTTCTTCACTCTAGTTAATGTGTTTTCTATTACTATTTGACATTTTCTCCTCAAAGGCTGCAAGGAGCAGGGGAATGTCACGGTTTCATCTACTACACACATACTGAAGCAGCATGAGCTTTTCACCATTTCTTTTGAGAAAAAATACCATCATCACATCATTCACAGGTCTTTACGACAACCCGTCAAAATAAAAGTCCGGTTTAACTTAAAGAAATTTTGACAATATATTACTATTGCACAGTAGAATGTACTACTCAAAATAATAATAATAATACAATTATTTAAACTTTTTTTAAGGACTAATGATTTTAATGTTTTGTGCCTTCATCTTATTACTACCGTTTTTGATAATAAATCTGTATTAAATCATTAATTCAGAAAAAATTCAAACAGACAACTCAGAATTTCTAATAAATAAATAAATACATAAAAAAATAGTTCATAGGGCCCTATTATTATTTTAAAAATTAATTGTTTATTGTTGTATGAAGAGGAGCTGACACTGAACACTAACAACTAGACAGAATCCAAATAGTATGTTGTCTTCATTTTGAACATGTATCTGTTGTTGTATAATCTAAAATCTTTTTTTTTCTCTTTGTACATAAAAACAATATGGGTGTTGTTGTTTTCTACATCACCCCTTTGTTCTGGGAAATACAGTGAGAAAATAAACTCTCAAACTGTTGTTCTCAGCATTCAGTTATAAATATAATTTAACTATATGATTTCAGGACTTTGCTTACTGTAGATCTGCCAGGAGTTGAGGTTGGTTTGAAAGTGGTGACCATTATAAATTCTCAGCACTGCTACAAATGACATTTTGTGACTAAAACGCTCTTGATTTCTGCTGAAGTATGCTCTATGTTCAATACTTAAAAAAGCAATTCAGTTAAACCGGTTTACACTTTACAAAGTTGGTGTTTAAAACAAAGCTTAATGCTGTTTTTCTGCTTCAGATTCTGCATAAATCTCATCACTGTTCCAGAAACTCACCTCCATCATCAGGTAGTGTCCTCCTCAGCAGATGAATGAAAGTGCTTTCTAAGAGCGTTCCAGTGTGATCCAGCGTGCCGTCAGAGAGTTTGAGTGTCTCCTCCTCTCTTCACTGGGCATGTGAAGCACATCCAGATCAAACCCTGCTCTTCTCCACTTCACTGCTAAACCTGCTCCTGCTGAACACATTTCTTGATTGTCGTCTCCACCCACTGTCTTCTTAGATATTTTCCTGTTTGGGTTATTTTGGACTCTCTATCTCTGTAGGAGATTATTTGATAAATCTTACTGTTTATAAATAAATTATTTATAAATCCTCTTATTTTAATGATCATTACTACAGTGCTACACTATTTGGTGATATGGTTTTAGAAAAAATTCTTTAAGAAGACTAAAATTTCCATCACAATTATTTAGTCTCTGCTTTGGAGAAGCTGTATGCATATATAAATGAAACAGTTATTCTGGATAAAGCCCACAAAGTTTAGGGATTATTATTTAAATTTTGAATCTGAAGCTGTAAAAAAAAATTAAAATATAATAAATATATAAAAAATAATAATAATAATTTAAAAAAAAAATTTTTTTTAATAAATAAATATATATATATAAATAAACACAATCATTTAAATAATAATAATAAAAAAAAAAATTTTTTTTAAATAAATAAATATATATATATAAATAAACACAATCATTTAAACAAAATGTTATCAAATGTGTCACGTTATATGATGACATTTTCACTTCCACAAACTGTACATTTAACAGTAGCCTATTATTTTATTGTAAATCATGAAATCTAAGGTTAGATCTATTACATATTTTCACTGTATATATTAAGGGAACTTATCGTTAACCAATTAAAAGGTCTTGACTGTTGCCTTTTCACAGTCTCAGTCTTTTTTATAGCTAAAATTACTGTAAAATTTACAGTAGGATTTGTAATTCAGACAGACATTCAGTTGACTGAACCAAATAGACCCTTGAGGTACAATAAGTATGTTTATATATCGTTGTCTCGTTATTCTTTCTCTGACGTGTTTTCTATTTAATTTGGTTTTTGCTTTTGTTGTTGAACTGATGGTGCTGGAGGAGAAGGTCGTGGCGGCACGGTTGCAGAGCTGAAGCCGCAGTGACTCTTCAGTCCGCTGGAGGCGCTACGGATCAGAAACACTTCCGCACTCGACTCTGAATGACACCGACATAGAAGCGAACGAGGAAGTGTCGGGGAATAATATTGTGAAATCAAATTTAGATCATTTCCCCCAACTGAACTCATATTTTCATCTGTTGAATTTCGGTAAGTTGTTGTCATACGTTATTTCGCTATTCTGCTTGCGCTGCCTGTACAAGTCTCTTGCAGTCTATCATGAGAAATCACGAATGTTGATTGACTGCTTTTGCTTTATACAAACCAATATTTAAAAACGTGTTTTTAAACCAAGCTAATCTAGGTTTAGATTTTAAAATAAGCCCTTTCTTGTCATTTTTGCTGCTGCTTGCGAGTGTTTTTATTGAAATAATTTGAGAATGTTTGCTTTTAGTTCCTTTTTATTCAGTCGCCTTTAAACATTAAGTAAAAAGTATACACAGTATTTAGTATAGGTTTGGTTTATATTGTTATTCTTCGTTTATTGGTGTGATTTACTGTAATATGTGGCGTTCTGATGTTGCCAGGTTGTCATGGAGACCCCTGAGCCCGGTCAGGCAGATGGAGAGGAGCGGATGATGGAGCTGAGACCCAGGACCCGCTCCAATCCGGAGGGTGCAGAGGACCGGCGCAGCAGCACCGGCAGCCTGAACAACAGCCTGGCGTCGCCGCCGCCGCAGCCCGCCGTGGGCAGCCGTGTGGAGGGAGAGGGAGAAGCGGCCAGCTCCGACAGCCCTCCGACTTCTGCCACCGCCATCTCAGCCACCGCACCTGCAGCTGTTACTGCGACGGGAAGCTCAACGGCCAGCATGCCTGCCATAGCTTCTGCGGTGAAGGAGAGACCCAAACCCTCTCAGCCGTCCATGAGCACCCAGATCCCCCCATCAGCTGAGTTACACCTGCGGGCGCCACGAGTCAACTGCCCAGAGAAAGTGGTAGGTCTGTCAATAACTTCCAGGACTTCAGGATATGTGCATCTGAAAACACGTCTGTCAGTCAAGTTTTCTCGTAATATCTTTTTTTAAACAGATCATCTGTTTGGACCTTTCAGAGGAGATGTCTCTACAAAAACTGGAGTCGTTTAATGGGTAACTTTACAGTTTTTCCAGTTAAACCGTTTCCTTGGTGTATCACATTCATTTAGAAAAGACGAATGTATTTTAAACACATTTTCTGTAAATGATTTCTATTTCCAGGTCCAAGACGAACGCCTTAAATATTTCACAGAAAATGATTGAGATGTTTGTGAGAACCAAGCACAAGATCGACAAAAGGCATGAGTTTGCTCTGGTGGTGGTGAATGATGATGCCATGTGGGTGAGTGGACAGAAACACAGCTTCAACTACACTGTCACTCTGAAATTAAAACTCGCTGTAATTTCATTAATCTGTCTTTGAGTAGTTGACTCACTGATGGGTCAATGACATGACGCTCTTTTTTGTCTTGTTCTGTTAATTTAATCAGAAGGATTCAAAAAGAATGAAATTCTTCAAAAGCTAATTTTTTTTTATTTCATAGAAAATGCTTTAACAAAATTGTTAACTGACAGTGTTATTTAAGTATTATTTATATACTATTATTATTGTACTTTAGTATTATTTTATTTGCTTTTATTTTATATTTTTATTTTCATTTTAGTTTATTAATTTTGTTATGAGCTTTTGACATTTTCAGTTTTTTATATTTCTATGTAGATTTAATTTAATTCATTTTTTTAATTTTAGTACATTTAAGTTTTTCATGTAATACATACAGTATATATATATATATATATATACTTTCAGGTTTATTTCAGTTACAAATGACAATTTTCAATTTAGTTTAGTTAACAATAACAACACTGTTCACTGCTTATTATTGATATTATAGACAGAGAGGACCCTCATGAATAGAAAGTCTCTCAAAATATCAGATTATTTTTATGACAAGGCCAGGTTAGTTCAGGTTGTGAAATATCATGTTTTACGACTTTACAAAAACAAAAATAATTCAAATTTTTACCCTGAAAAAATGTTTTTTTGAAAACTTAAATATTTAAGACACATGCATGTATTCATTGTGTGTGGAAAATATGATAAATACCTTTTACTTGATGGTTACATCCAGCGTTATTTGAATTTTTTTAAATTTACTATTACAGTATTTACTATATTTTTTTTTACTTTCTTCTACTTTATATTTAGTTTTCATTTTAACTTTAGTTTAAGTTTTAGTAATTTAATGTGCTTTTGTCATTTTCATTTTTTTCCCAAATATTTCTATTTATGTATTTTTATTTCAGTTTTAGGTTTCGTAATTTTGGTACTTCTACTTAAACCTTTATTTCAGTTAGTTGCCTGGGCAACATTTCTGATTTTCATTTGTTTTTTTACATTTTTTGTTGACTAAAAGATATAAATGTTTTACAAAACCATATGAAACCAACATGAATATAAAGAACCGAAATAACATATGCAGGAGTAGTATTGCTTGACGCATAGAGCACGTTACACTGCTGTCAGTGCTTGACATTCATATGAACGACCACTTTACTTTGAATCTCTTTCACACACAGTTATCAGGATTCACGTCTGATCCGCGAGAGCTGTGCAGCTTTCTGTACGACCTGGAGACCAACGTCTGCGAGTCCTTCAGTATCCTTATTTAGAGAGTTAGGCTCATTTTTTGTGCTTGTGGAATCAGGTCGGTCCAGATACACATTAATAAGGGATGCAGAGGAAGCAGTGAGAATGAATCATGATCACACTGATCATTTCCTTAACTTTTACCTGTAGATCTGGAAGATCTCCTCAATGTCATGTGAGTAGTTTTTGTCTTCTGTGTTCGATAATTAGACTGCTATAGATTCAAATCCCTCCTGTTCCCTCTGTTTTCCTTCTCTTGTAGCTTGCAGAAAATTGAACTTCCTCAGATGGAGAACATTCAGACCATCCCACCTCCTTTCGTAATCCGGACTCTCCTCATCTTCAGCCGGCATGCTGGCATGCTTCAGTTCAACCCCTCTGATGCTGCCAAAGTGAGTTTGTTTGACACGTTACTACATAATTATGAGTCAATGACAAAAACACTTTTTTACAGTGACTTCGAAATCTGGGGGGAAATCTTTCACAATCATGCAAAAAGTTGGATTCCTATAGGAATTACTGGACTTTACCTGTGAAAGTTTGCAGAACTGTGGTAAATGTGACCTCTCCTTTGTCCACCAAATCAGTCATGCGTTGCAACCAAACAGTGTACAAAAGTATACAGAAAAAAATAAAAAACAACATATGAAGTGATATCAGTGACGACCCCTAAAAACCTTCTCATGACTGTAAGTTATGTGGTACAACTCCTTCAAAAAAAGATATGTATAAATTAATAATTTATGAACATTGGTTAAAAATGCTTTTTATTTTGAAATATATATATATTAAAATACTTTTTGGAAATAATCATGAAGATGTGTTCATCCACATATATTCAAATTGTAAGGAAAATTACTTTTTAATTAATGGTTACACCACATTACACTCATTAAAATTAAACTGAATTTTTATTGAAAATAGCATGTTTTTCAAAACCATATAAAATCAACATGGACGCAAAAATTATTTATCGTTCAGCTTTAAACAAAATTAATTCTTGAGAAATTTAGTTCAAAACAGGGTTATTATAGTTAACTAAAACTAA